TGTCATTGCAATGAAAACTATAGTAGGGAGAACTTAGCCTTAAGCCTGGTTCAGACGGGTGGTTCCCGTTTCGACCCATTCCCAAAACAACCTTCCCGTTTGTACCTTCCCGTTTCGACCCGTCTCAAAACGACCTTCCCGTTTCATCCTTTCCCATTTCGCCGTTTCCCGAAACAACCTTCCCGCTTCGGCCATCGTTCGGTTAGTTTGTATTGTTGATTAGGTTCAAGTGTCCAGTGTGTGTTCTCCTTGCTCCACATCACTTCTCCCTCTCCCGAAACAACCTCGGAGACTTGGCACCGTAAGATAAACGCTGTGTCGGGGAGGGCTCATCCGAACATTTACAACTTCATCGACCTGCAAACGGGATGATCCTTGAGAAGGATATCGCTGCAGCAGCTTGCAAATGGTGGTGCCGTGCGGGCCAGGTGACCGCCGCGAACTATCACAATTGGAGTGCCGCCTTTCTGATGCGCGATTTTCCTTCTCGACTTCCTCAACCAAAGCGACAGCAGTTTGTGGTTTATGATTTTTGGCTGTGTACGCGACGGTTCTGTGTTTGAACTTGTAAGAAAATGAAGTCGCAATCATATGCCCGTCAGCCTGTCTTGAGTTATCACATTTAAAAAGTATCCCGTTCACTATAAGGAAGTTTTAGAATAACGTACGTAAGCGCTTTGGGTAACCTAAAAGTAGCGTCGCAATATAAAAACTTAGGCGACGCTAATTTTTGCTTACTCAAAGTGCTTGCCTGCGTAAGACTTCATTATGTGCTTTTGTAGACCGCGTTTCCCCTTTCGCTGAGCCCTCCGCAACGAAGAAGCCGCTACTGCGCCTGCGCGTCGATGGCCTTGACTGTAGAGTTCTGGGTATCGTAGCGGGTTGCGGAGGAGCGTCGCGTGACTTCGAAAACAGTCTACGAAAGTTCCCTGTTATTGTAAAGAGCGCAAAACCGTTAGCGTGAACAAATGATTGTTGGTTTTAGTTGTTTGTCTAAAAAAAAAATCGGAAGACTGCCATCAATATTACTTGTGTGTTAGAAAGTGCTTATCTGGGCCACTAACCTAAGCGGTAAAATGTGGTACCTTCTAATACCATTTCGAAGTAAAATTCGAAAAATCACCAAGATCGTGTTCGTTGTGGCGTTGTCGCGCAGTGTACATAGTCCATTTCGTAAGTACACATTTTGGGGACCATCTTGAAAGAAACATTTGAAGTGGTTCAAGTAAAAATATATTTTCTTGAAGCTTGTCTGAAAGTATTGCATATTTTAATGATACGTTTACAAGCAAAAATATTTCACAACATAACTGAATTTCTCGCCTGCACCTTTGCATTAATTGCATTAACATGATTTCGGGACATACTCTTAAGCAGAAAAACTGCGCAAACCAGGATTAGAACGATAAACACTTTTTGTGAAGAGGTTGAGATGTGCGGGACTTTATACCAACGGGTTCAAACGGGACGTATTCAAACGTAAAATATGTCTTTGCTACGGCGGGTTCAAATATGAAGGGCATGTCGGGAACGGATTGAAACGGGACAGGTTCAAACGGGGAGGTTGTTTCGGGAATGGGTCGAAACGGGACGGGTTCAAATGGGAAGGTCATTTTGGGAATGGGTCAAAACGGGACGGGTTCAAACGGGAATGGGTTGTTTCGGGCTACACCCGTTCAGACAGTTGCGTTCGACTTCGTTTGACTGCGTTGCGGCTGCGAGAAACCAGGACATCTCTGCTGCTTATATCGCGTGCCAAGGTGATTCCTTCAATTGGATTCCACGCTTCATACGAAGCGCAGATTTGCCGATGACTCGCTTTCGGTCCTCGACGCAACGCAGTCAAACGCACTCAAACGCAAGTGTCTGAACCGGCCTTTACAGTTAGGCTGATCTGTAGCAAAAGTAGCGCCACGGTGAATCCATAAAAGACGACGACAACGTCGGTCATTTCAATGATTTTGACAACGAGTTGTTTTGGTGGCGCCCTGTTATAGACCTTCCCAGGATTCTCCTTCTGGGCGTGGCCATCTGTGTCTATTGGGCTGTGGAAGACGTTCTGGGCGTGCGCAGTAGCTCCCTTCCACAAAATATGAGACGCAGCGCATCCGTCCACAGCCCAGTGACTCGATATTTTTTGCCTGGATGATAAGCGCTGGGAAGGTCTATAGTTCCTATTCCTGACATTACTGCGAAGATTATAGGGTGTTTTCACCGACGTCATTTCGTCCACCGTTTTGTTGTTAAGAGCAGAAGGCGAGCGCTGTTGTTAAGTGCAGAAGGCGAGCGCTCCAAAGATTCCCATCACACCCTCAAATTGGCAGTGCTCAAAAGCTCATAAGTTTCATCACGCTGACATCTAATAACAAAATGGCGGATTGACGTCTTGTGGAAACACGCTATTAGAAGCAAGCGACGACAAGTTCGATACTGCGTAAGAAGAACGGTGGAAACTTAGTCGTCACGATCCTAACTCAACACCGTCAGAGCTGAGTGTCTGAATTTTTCTGTAGATGGGAGCAGAAATAGTCCTGCTCAAGACGTCTCAGAAAGCGTTTGGCCAATCGTTGAAGGCCGATCCCAGCGACGCTTTGGTCGCGCACGTCGCTAACCTTGGTTGGCAGAGAAGGATAGAGCCTACTTCAGTTTCAGCACATGGCTGTATGAGACAACAAGATTACAGTGTTCTAGAGGGGGTTGTAGTGGCAAGAGCGGCGGCCGCTTTGTGAAGATTTTGCGCGTAGACGCTGCTGTTCTGTGCCCTAGGAGCGCGCCCCCGCAGCCCCATCATCAGCGCTGTTCGGCGCTTACTACTGTGGTTTGACTGGAGCTTTTCGCGGTGCGAAACAACTGCTAATGTAGCTCTGTATACTCTGTTTCCCCTTATGATGTACCGCAGGAAAGGCTACAAGCGCGAGCTCTTTGCTCTGGGGCACATCTCGGCGGCACATGCTCTCGTGAATTAAGAGCAGCTGCCAACGCTATGAGCTCGCGCTTCTAGCCTTCGCTGCGGTACAACATAAGGTGAAACGAAGTAAATTGTAGTTCTGCCTTTGGACTAATGCCTCTAGAGTGTGTGCTATCCTCTACTTGAAATATTCCCGTGTTTTGAGGGAGATTATTTAATTAATATCGACTACCCCCCAGTACTGACACATCGTTCAGCAACGCTATCACTTGGGCTGCAGGCTTAATAGCTGCGAAAGAAGTTCTACGGTGCTACATTTCGAAGAAGCGTACCGCGTCACCCTCGTCGTCTTCTTCGTTCATCGCACACGTGCCATTAATTCTCCTAGGTCACAGAACTCCAGCGCCACTCGCGGTATCTACATCGACCGTCTTCACGCGCTTCATTGTAAGCGGGCGCCGCTCTTGCTACTACACCCTCTAGAACACTGTAACAAGATAATCATGATCTAATAAGGCAGTGTCAGGGGCTCCTCGTAGGCCTCCGTGGGATGAAGCGGAAGGCCAAAGTTGGATCTGCTTTTTCTTTATCTTGGCGTGTCATGATTGATCAGACTCATCCAATTGGCGTAAAGATCGTTAGTTAACGCAAGTTGTCTTATAACGTGTTTTTATTAAAGAGACGAGATATTGCCGATACATTTATGTCTTTCTTTTAACATTTTACGTAAGGGACAAACAGACATCATATTTTTAGACTTTAAGAAGGCGTTCGACAAAGTTAATCATAGAAAGCTCTTAATTAAATTGATTTTCATCTTGGGAGATAATAAGATTGTTCGGTGGATTGAGGCCTTTCTAAATGATCGTCGACAGTTTGTAAGTATTGATGGGGTTAGCTCGGACGAATGTGATGTGAACTCGGGTGTTCCACAGGGTCCTCTCCTGGGTCCCCTGCTGTTTTTGGTTTTTGTTAATGACCTTATCCAAGATTCACCTGTAAAAGCCAGATTATTTGCCGACGATTGTATTATTTATACTGAAGGGACGTCCGTTAATGATCAAGTTATGCTAAACAAATATTTGTCTCAGATCAATGAATGGTGTGTTAAGTGGCAAATGTCGATAAACTTAGACAAGACAGTATGTATGACGATCACTCATGAACGACAGCCGTTAGAGTATATGTATATGCTGCAAGGAAAAGCCTTAAGCCGAGTGTCAGAGTTTAGATACCTTGGTCTTAGAATAGCCTCAAACCTAAGTTGGACACCGCACGTTAGTAATATAATCGGAAAAGGTAATAAAAGATTAGGGTACATCAGGCGCACTCTTAAACTCGCTTCCTCAGAAACAAGACTCACAGCATACAAGATGCTAATAAAGCATTTATTAGAATACGCATGTGAAGTCTGGGACCCGCATGTTAAATATCTTATATCAAATCTGGAGCAAGTTCAACGGCGTGCGTTACGTTTTGTTTTTTCTAGCTATAGACGGCTGGACTCTGTGTCACCTCTTTATAAAAGGGCAAATCTGCCCCTCCTTCAAGTGTGGAGGAAGCAGAAGCGGCTTAACCTTTTTTATAACATAATGAATAACTTGGTTCTAGTAAATAAGCAACAGTATATTGATGAGAGCATGTCGCATATAACCCGCAGCAAGCATGCTCGGTATGTGGAAGAGCGGAAGTTTTCTAAGGACTGTTTTAGGTATTCGTTCTTCTTACAAATAGCGCGTGAATGGAACAAGCTACCCGCACATGTCGTTACCGCTGGAACTTGAGAAGAGTTTAGTTTCCTTGTTTCAGAGATTTCTGACAGCAGTACCTAGAGTTGTCATTTCATTATTGTGTTAAATTCGTGTTATTAATCTGTGCATTTTGAACGTGTGCATTTTTTTTTTTTTTGTGTTGCGAAAAATCCACTTCTATCTTGGTCCTGTGTAGGACCGATAGTATTTCAAATAAATAAATAAATGGATGTGCTTTGAATAGTCCCCAACCAGTCATCTTCTGTGTGGCCTTATTTCAAAAGGTACCCAGATCTTGCGCTTAGGCCTTTGGCAGACATGACATTCCTTTGCACCCGCAGCCCTCGGGGGTGACGGTTTCAGTCTCCAGCCTCAGCAGCACGGTGATGTCCTCCGTGCCCGAATCGGACGCCGAAGACACGCAGGCCGGCACTTCGGCGCGAACGGAAGAGAGGCGCTCTCGGAGCCGCACCAGGACTCCTTCGGGGAGCCCAAGGAGGAAGGCGGCAAGCCCCCGCAGAGCCAGTCCCGTCAAGCGACGGTCGGAACGGACTCGGAGCGGCGCCTCAGCCTCCGCAAGGAAGAAGGCGAGGTCTCCGAGTCGGGACCAGAGCCCGGCCAAGAGGTCTTCCCGGAGTCCGGTCAAGAGGTCTGCCCGGAAGTCGTCCGGCAGCAGCCCGACCAAGAAGGCCAAGAAGGCCGCCACCCCGCGGCGACAGTCCAGGTCTCGATCGCGAACCGGCAAGAGGAGCGTCAGCCCGGCCCACCGGCAGCAGGGTAAGAAGGGCACGGCGTACGGCAGTGCTCGACTGTTTAGGACTTGCTCTTGCGTTATTTTGGGAAGTTTCAGTTGATCTGTTTTTTTTTTCACTCCGGTAACGATATCAAATAATAGAACATTTTAGTAGACAGTTCCGATGACTCCAATATTGGTACCCAATACTCCGACAGTGCTTTTTCGTATAATCGGGTATAGTTACTGGAGGTACAAAAACGCTCTATTAACGCTCTCTGAGGACACGGCTCACCCGAGGTAACCGGATGTAAACGGTTCGGGATACGCTTTCAGGAGGCTGTGGTGAAGCCGATTTGGCACCGATGTGCGCGACAGCGTTCCCTGGTGGTGACATTTTAGGTTTTTCAGCATGACAAACAAAAGCACGTACCGGTATGCTTTGCAAATTATCTTTCTGGGGGAAAAAAATTGTGTCATGATCAACGAATAAAAGACGGCCTATTTAGAAGACAAAGAACCCCAAAAGTGTAGGTCAACTATAAGCAAACAAAAGTAAAGCAACCCAAGACAATCCTTAGCCTCTCCGTATTCCCAGAGCCGTATATACAGAGTTTGGTCAATAGGAGGAGCGGGCAGAGCCAGGGCGTGCGCGAGACGCAGGTAGAAGGCGTGACGTACTCTCTTGGCCAATCAGAACACAAAAGTAATCTCATATCGGTGGTAGCAAAAAACAATTTTAATAAGCGCGTAAGAGTTAAATGGAGTAACACTTCATGATTGAAAATATAGCGCACGTGATGTTTCGATCACGATCGTGCAAAAAGATGTAAGAATCGAATGTGCCACTAGGTTTCTTTTTTGCTCGGTCGGCGTCCAACCGCTCGGACGGCATTTTACCGGCCTTCGGCGCCTGGCGTACGGATCACGTCGACCGTCCTCCTGGAATTTGATTTTGCATCACCGTGATCGAAAAATCACGTGCACCATATTTTCAGTCACCGAGAGTTACTCTGACGCATTTATTAATTTTGTTTTCGGCGACCACCGCCAGGACATTATTCGCGGCCTCTGACTGGCCACATTCGTATCTCTGAACACGCCTGGAACACGCCCGGTCCGCTCTCGGCCAATGGCGCTTCCCCATTTGCCTCCTATACTTTCCAATGAATGGCCAAACCCTGTCAATATACGGCTCCGCCTATTCTTCATATCAGAAAGCATATGATCCGTGATGTGCCGTTTGCTCGAAGCAAGCCATAATTCCGCGCATTCACATAAGCGTCGACACCGTATTCGAAATTTTTATCGGAACGCGAAAACGATCTGCTGGAACACTCTACTACTACTCACTACGGCACATCTAAACAAAGAAGCTGTCTTTCTCATTCTCCCGTGGGGGAGGCGTAACACACATTCCGTCAAGGGGCGTAAATTACTCTTATGTGATGAGTTTGCTAAACGCGAGCTGGTTCCCTGCCATACTTTCTGGTTTCATCGCTCGCCACACCACTCGTCCGAATGTTTGCTTCCCGGCAATGCTCTCGGTGCACATAACCCTTTTTTCTTTCTTCTTCTTCCGCTTGACCAATGAGAAAAAAAAAAACAGCAATGAAAAAAAAAGCGCCCACCCACTTTCTATTTTTGAAGCTACGAATTGTTATAGACCGTATTTTCTTATTGTGCGCACTGGTCAATAAGAAAGCCCAGCGATCGGTGTTTCGACTGAGTCGCAAAGCAACTGGCGACGTGCGCGATCGAAAGCGTCGCTGTGGTCGGCCTTCCAGGATTAGCCGAATGCTGACTATGACATCACCAAAGGTTTTCCCATCGGCTGAGTAAGAACTTTAATTTTGACGGTGTTGGCAGTCTTGCTCTGAGCGCTATGATTTCGAGCTTCCCCCCATGCCGATGCCAACAACGTCGAACTAATTTTTCGCAAGGTAATGACGTCACGAGAGAACCATAGGAGGGCGCCACCAAAACATCTCGCCGCTAATAGGTCGGCGACATTCGTCTTACCGTTGGGTATTTCTCAAGGGCGCCATGGAGCCACGAGTACGGGCTCGCGTGACTCGCGGCTCGAGGGTCCGGCGTATGTGACGGCCGAGCATGCTGCTGCTCGTAAATAAATATCTGGACCAGCTGAACTAGGTTACAACATTTCTAAGGCTGTAACCCCGTAGCCCTACAACTCGACGCGCACACTCCCAGAAATCTCTAAACGCTGGACTTCATAAAGCGAAAAAAAAAGGACTAATTTCTCCCAACGGCGTTCGCTCTGCGCGTGGCATCACAAAAGTTTCTGTTGGCGCGCACAAAGAAACGTGGCGCCAGGCGAAGTTTACCGTTCGTTCGACGCGCTCAAAACACCGATCACTGTACTCGTTCCAGTGAGTTAGACGATCCGTATCATGGCCCCAAATGGCCATGCGAGCTCAGTATTACACACCAACACAGTGTTTCCAAACAAGCCCGCTTTGCCCACGCCAGGTGTCAGCACTGCGCGTGCGCAGAAACCGAATTCGCGTGAAGTGAAGCGCCTACGCATGCACAGCTCCGACAGCAGCGCCACCGCTGTGGTGTCCACAGAACCCATTTGAATGAGAAATTTCTTGTGTCCAATAAACGCCATGTAAGACATATAAGAGAACCATATAAACTGCTCACGAGTTTCTGATATCAATCAATCAATCAATCGTTTTATTTATGGCCTTTAAGCCAACGGAGACCCTAGACAAAAAGCTGCCAGTGGCGGCTTGACGAGGTCTGGGGCCTGTCTAAAATTTGTCAGCAGGACATCCATTCAGAACACAAAAGGATATTACATGCAAAGATACGCTGAGTAATCACTTCATGCATTCAACTTCTAACAGCATTATACAAAAGAAAAAATAATAAGTTATTCGCAGAACTTGTGACAGATTGAAAACATATACAGCTACATATAGAAGAAAATTACGCAAAACACAAGGCGCACAAACGCATAACTTCTAACAGCACTGTACAAAATGCAAAATTTATACAAAGGTATGGGTATGCTCAAGAAATTTCACGGAACAATTCCCAAGAAATGCATAAGTAATGATTTCCTTCCCATTTGATATATATCAGTATTATTATTAAGAAGATGATTAAGTAATAAAGGTAGACGATATGTAATTGACTGGTAAGTATAGTTAGTACGAGCTCGTGGTACTATCCATTTTTCGAAAAGACGGGTGTTGAAACTACGAGGATGTTCGGAGAGCTCCGACATCTTGCAAAAAAGCGAAGCATGCTCAGGAGATGAAAAACGAAAGCTGTGCAGTAATCTAAAGTCATACATCTTATCAAGATTAATTATTTTATATTTGGCAAACAAAGGTTTGGTGTGAGCGAGATAGTGCTCATTGGCGATATAACGAAGCAGCTTTTTTTTTTAAGTAAAGAAAGTTTTTCTATGTTTGTTTGTGTAGTTGTCCCCCAAACAAGATGGCAATAATTAATGTAAGACTGAAATAGTGAATAGTAGATCTGTGATTTCACGTTAACTGGGAAAATATTGCGGCAGTGTGACATAACTCCAACCACCCTAGACAGCTTCGTAACAAGATAATTGACATGATCATTCCACAAAAGGTGTTCAGAAAAAATTATTTTAAGCGTCTTATGTTGTTTCACTAACTTGATTGGTACGCTGCCTATTGTAATATTATGATTAATTGGCAGAGCCCTGCTCTTTGGTCGAAAAACTATAGCTTTCGTTTTCTGAATGTTAATTTTAAGGCCATTGTTGTTGGACCATAAAAGGAACTGGCTAAGAACATCATTTGCGTCTACGATTAATTTTTCAACACTCGTTTCGGCATGAAATAGGCTGGTATCATCAGCGTATATTATGTATTTTATTTGTTTGTTTATATTTACAATATCATTAATATACACATTAAATACCATTGGCCCAAGTATACTACCCTGGGGAACCCCACATCGTATGTTAAGAAAAGGCGATGTATGACCATCGATCACAACACATTGCTTACGGTGCTCCAAATAGGAATGTAAAAGGGACAGAGTTACACCACGTATTCCATAACAGTATAGTTTATCAAGTAGTATCTTATGGTTTATGAAATCAAACGCCTTACTAAAATCTATAAATATACCAAGGGTAAACAGGCGATTTTCTATATTTTTCAAAATAATTTCTTTTTGTTGAAGCAATGCAGACTCAGTTGACTTTCCTTTGCGAAAACCATATTGAAAATCCGAAATCACAGAATGTTTAGCAAAGAAAGAATCGAGGCATTTTAAAATAATTGTTTCAAGCCCTTTGGAAAATATAGCAAGTATAGAGATAGGCCTATAGTTTGTCGGTAGATTTTTATCTCCTCCTTTAAATATGACTGATACTTTAGCTAATTTCATTCTACTAGGAAACGTCCCCTGTGACAAGGCAAGGTTAAAAATATGCACCAGGTAAGAGGCGATGATAAATATAACAAATTTTACGGGTCTAGCTTGTAAATCATCTGTGTCGCAACTTCTACTATTGCTAAGACCCGTAAATATAGAACATACTTCGTGTTCATCAGTCGGTTCTAAAAAAATTGTTTCGTGCACTACATCTTGTATAAAACTGAAGGCATTAGCATTACTTGGTGGTGGGCCTAAGTTTACGAATACCTTATTGAAGTGTTCTGCTAGTGATGGCCCAGAAACGTTTTTCCCGTCAACAGAAAGTTCACCAATAGCTTTACGCGGTCTACTATGGTGTAACACCTCATTTATGGATTTCCAAACTAATTCTGGTCGTTTTTTGCGATTTCGGTTAAAAAGCTGTGTATGGTACTCCAGTTTAGCTTTCCGCAATTCAGATGTCAGGCGGTTACGAAATTGCTTGAAAATGATCAGTTTATCGGGATCTCTCGACGTTAAGAAAGACTTATATAAACGATTCTTCTTTTTTGACATTTTCAGGTGCAGAAGAGTGATCCAGGGCTTCCGAATATTTTTAGAGACTGTCTTTGTTAATAAGGGAAAATTCGAGCTATAGACATTG